TAAACTACAAACAGCAGAATAATGGTAACTATGCTAATGTTTGGACTGCAATACTTCTTATGCTCTTATTCAGCTCCAAACTCATCATTACGTCAGTGAATTTAGAATGTGTACCTGGATGTTTGGACAATAAGAAGGAGAAGAAGAAAAGTATCAACAGCAGGCAACCAGACAACAACAACAACCAGCAACAATGTCACCAATAGTCCACAAACAACCAACAGCAGTTTCAACAATGATGAAACCCACAGGTGGTCGAGCACCAAACAAGCAATCCCAGAAACAGAGTAGTAAAACAGCCGAGAAAACTAGAATATTCAATGCAATAGCAACAGCAGTTCAATAGTCACAAAAACTCGGCGAATAACCAACAACAGCCTTAAATGGCACTAAAACCAGAACCAACTAACAGCATATAGATGTCCAGAATAGTTGTAATCCCGCAAAGAAAATCAGAATATCCTAAATAACAGCCCAATTAGAGTAACTGACTTGGCCAAGACAGCCTGACCAACTTAATTTCTTATGCAGTTTTCAGACAGTGTTTAGTTACATTGTTCTGAATTTTCTTTCTGTTTTTCTTCTGAAGACTAAAAAATGTCCAGCCCTTTCTTAGCTAAAAATAGCTCTATTTATAATCTGAAAGAGAACCCCTAAGGTCTGCCTAGAATTTCACAGCCCCCAGGTCTGCCCATACCCTTCACTTCAGATGCCTAAACATCTTCTTGATGCAAGTTATTTGGTTCCCCATGCCTGGCCTATTGCTCTAATCAAGAATCATGGGTTCATTTAAGTATTCATTTTAAACTCCCATGCTCTTATGTTTTGTACCCACTAATACTAGATTAATAGTATTTTGATTAAACAATTGATATCCCCCTTAATCCTGAACACTTAATTAGTCTTTCCCCAACTCAAGCTAACCAACAGACCCTTGATTATTGCTGCTTTTCCCCACCCTTTCATTCTATTGAATCTGCCAATTATGACCCTTTGAGAACCAGTTCGAACCCCCCACAGCTAACAAACAGACCTAAAATCAGCCCAACACAACTGTTCAACAAAATCAGCCAGTAAGAGTTAGGTCGTTTGTTTTTTAATACTGCGGAACAAACGACAACATGTGTCGAGTCGACTTTGCAAGTTATAGCGTGTACTAATGAGTCGCTAATCAACTAAACTCAAAAAAACAGGACAACTGAGTGATTCAGGCATTTTTCGGACAACAATGGAACCTAATTATTTGACGACGTCACTCAAATCGACTATACGAACTATTATACGTAACAATTAATCGACAAACAACATAGACTAAACAGGGCACCAATTTATTTCAAAACTCGGGGCATTTATCATAGAGTTTATGAAACTTAACTAGTCGACAACATCAATCGAAGCGAATAGATATCTTATAACACTCATTTAACACTTAAGAAAAGAAATCGACCAAACAAAAGGGTCTTTGAAGATGAGGGGGGGGGGAATTGACAGAAAAATAATCAAAAATTCAGAACAAATCTACGAACATATGCACAACACAGAAGGCAAGAAAAGAAGATTACACCGGAACCTTACCTCAACACGATCCAGGTTTGGTTTTTGGGGTTCTTGAACTCAGATTTGGGGTTCGAAGAGTTCTGCTTATATTTGACCGGAACCAAAGCTGATTAGGGTATGAGGGATGTCAGGGGAGTGACTAGGGTGAATTTGGGACTCATCTGGTGACTTAGGGTTTCGGCTCGAACCTTCGAATGATTATTCGAGACGTTCCAGGAAGATTCGAGCCAAACCATTACCAGATCGGGGTTGAGGGTGGTCTTGTGTCTTAAGGGTGTTAGTCTGGTGGTCATTGGCGTTGTTGCCGCCGGGTTCAGGTGAAAGGGAAGCTATGGCGGCTGCTAGGGTTTGGGGGTATTTTGAGGTTCCGTTCTGAGAGAGACGGAGGAACAGGGTGGGGGCTTGGATAGGGGGCGTGGGGTGTGATGGAGGGTTTATATACGGCAGGGGAAAATAGATTAGGGCCGTCAGATCAAGTGAAATCAAGGGCCAAGATCCCTTCACTTAAAGGGAACGGTGTCGTTCCATCTAAAGGAGGTCGGGCTGGTCCGGGGTTAAATGGGTCGGTTTTGGAAACGGGTTGCGGAAAGGGGTCTAAGGCCGTTGGATTGGACTGGTTGGACGGCTCAGATCAAACGCCCTATGCGGCGTCGTTTGGGCGTCTCCAGAAGCCTTGGTTTGGACTGGGTCAAATTTAATTGGTTTGGGCCTGATTTTAGTTGAATTTTTGGCCCAAATCCGATATTTTCCTCTTATAATTTAGACAAAAATTCCTAAAACAAAAATTAAACACGCAAATATGAATTAATACCTAACAACAAATATCACACAAATTAAAACATTTTACTAAAATTATGATGACAACAAAAATGCGTACTTTGTGATTTTCGCTTTTAGACAACCAAATTATAATTAACTAATTCCTAAATGTACCAATTATTCCTAAATGCATGCAGCCTGTATTTTTTTCTTTTCTAACTATAGTGAGGCGAACATTTACGGACTGAACAATTATCAAAATGTCACATAAATCCTCAAAATTGTACCCGAAGGTAACCTGTTTTATTTCTTTTCGATTTCTTTTTGAAGTAATTTCCGTGAAGCAAAAATCACGTGCTTAGAATAATCACTCTGATTGTCTTGTTGTTTCCAGTTGAGAAAATGATAATGTCATCTGCATAAGCAAGGTGATTAATTTTAGGCCCTTTAGTTGGCATGGTGAAAGGAGTGAAATTTTCATTCTCATGGAGCTTGTTGAGAATTCTAGTCAGCAATTCTGATCCCAATATGAATACTGACGGGGATAGAGGGTCCCCCTGTTTCAACCCTTGGGAGGAAGTAAAGAAACCATTCCTGATGCCATTTAAAAGGATAGAATACCAAACGTTAGATAGGATCCTTTGAGTCATATTGATCCATTTCTCTGAGAAACTAAATGTCCCCATCACTGCATTAATGAACTCCCAGGACATCCTATCGTAAGCTTTTTTCATGTCCAGTTTCATAACAATATTCCCACCTTTATTGTAGTTTTTGATGCCCTGGATGATTTACTGAGCCAGGAGGATATTTTTCGCGATCAATCTATCCTTGACAAAACCGCTTTGATTATTAGAGATCAACTTAGTCAGAAGCGGGTTCAGTCTTCTGGAAAGAATTTTAGATATGATTTTGCTAGAGACATTGCTAAGACTAATAGGTCTTAGGTCTGAGAAGGTCTCCGGAGCATCGATTTTGGGGATAAGGACCAGACAGGTATGAGAGAAATCGAGTAATGTCCTCCATTGAAGAAAGCCTGAACAAATCGAGTAATGTCCTCTTTAATAATATTCCAACAACTCTAATAGAAAGCTCCATTGAAACCATCCGGGCCAGCAACACTATCACTGGATATGTTTAATATAGCCTCCTTTATTTCCTGTTCTGTGGGCATCATGGTCAAGTAGCCATTGTCTTCTTCAGTAACAATTTTGGGAATACAATCTATGATATCCATGTTGCAGTCCTTCTTAGGGAGATTGAAGAGCTTTTCATAGTGGTTAATAGCAGCTTTCGTAATTCTTTGTTCACTTCTAACCCACTTCCCTCTTTTATTCTTAATTTTGTGGATCTAAGTCTTTCTTCCTCTTTCTCTAATAACACTGTGAAAGTTTTTAGTATTGCAATCACCTTCTTCAAACCATTGAATCTAGACTTTCTGTTTGAGCAAGGACTCTTGCATAGCCTTCCATTTGATGTACTCTACTTGGCCTTTGTTGAGGTTTTCTCTACTCGACTATGTGTTACACAATTGATCCAGCTCTTCTAAGGTTTCCAGTTCTCTTTCCCATTGTTCACTATATCATAGACATTACCAATGCTTTCTCTGCACCATTTTGAAAGTTTGTTGCTAAGAATTTTCATCTTTTGGTGTAGAGTCCACATTGGATTACCCTGGATAGGAGTGTCCCAAACTTCTTTAACCAAGTCTTGCAAATCTGGTTGCTTAGTCCAGAAGTTAAGGAATCTGAAATAGCTTATTGTCGTTGATTGGTTGAGTTTGCTTTTGAATAAAAGGGGTCTATGGTCTAAACCCAACCTGTTGAGATGTTTGGCCGAGTAGTTCTGGAATAGGTGAGCCCAGGTGTCGTTGATGAAGATCCTATCAAGTCTCTTCCAAACTCTTTTACTTGGTCTCCAATTATTGCACCAAGTGTATTTAGGCCCAATGAAACCGATGTCTACAACCTCATAGTGATCCATACAATTAGTGAAATCAAAGCTTTTAGATATTCTATGGGGGGTACCCCCAAATTCTCCTCCGGATCCATGATAACATTGAAATCACCCCCCACACACCATGGGCCATTGATGCTTGAGTGAGTGTCTTCAAGACTGGTCCAAAGGTCCATTACTGGAAAATCAACCTATGGCAATGCATGCAAAACCGTAGCAATAGACATGTAAACTGTTACCATTGATCTAGTGCAACGGTTTAGCGACCGTTCCACCAGGTCGCGTGTCAATAGCTCTGTAGCAACGGTTTGTGTAACGGTTGTAATAACCATTGCTATAGGACCATATGTCGTAACGGTTATTCCTCTTTCTGATGGAACACTTATTTTTCCTCTATTGTTATGGTTCAAAACTGTTACCGTTAGTTTTAATGCAACACTTATATAAGCTATTGCAACGGTTATTTAAAGATACCACAATAGTTTTCTAATGTTATTGTTACGGTTTTTCATATTGCAACGGTTGCTAAGGGAACGGATTGCATGACCTATTGCAATGGTTTACACTATCTATTGGAATATATTTTTTATCCTATTGCAACGGTTCTGGTAGGCTATGCAACAACTTAACTATGATACATACACCTTGTTGCACAATTATAAATTTTAATACACCAAAATTTATATAAGTCACATAATAAACTACTCATAAACTTTTTCAATCCAAAATAATTGTCCAACAAGCTATATATTAATATCCATCAAAGCAAAATGTTCAAACCCAAGTGCATAAATTTTACAATTCAAGAGTTAACATAAGCTTCAAAATATTCCATAACAATATTCCTGAAACATCTAAATTCCAGCAATAATTCAAGAATTTTCTTAAGTTACCTCTAGATCGTTCCTGTCTTCGTCTTCCCTTTTGCATTTTATTCACCTACAAAAAAAGATAAATAAAGTCATTACCTTCTGGTACTAGTTGACAATTAAAGAAAGCATGAATAGAAAAGCAAGCAATTCAATTAAACTTCATGTTAAATGGGAAAATCATAATAGCCTTTCAGAGAATCTTCCTCAGAAAAGGAGCCTCAAGTTTTCATCTTCTAGGGGATGACAATAGCATTATGCAGCTGAAGCAACACACACAAAGCGTCGTGGACTTGCATTGCTCGTCATTCAAAATATTATATTTTATCTAATCCCATTACTAAACTACTTATTCTACTCTTTGAAAAGGTCTGGGAATAAATATCACAAAAATCAACCAGATGCATGTGTTTCACTACTTGATTCAAGAAAGTACAATCTCATTTTTGCTTTTTGTGAAGAATATTATTCTATGAATGGTGACGAAGGAAAATTAGTGAGGACCGATATGCATACATCCCTATTACGTGTTTAAGGAGGTACATTGTCTCACCCCAGTTTATACATTGTGGGACAACATTTATTGGAACCAGTGATCATTATCAATCGCACAATCTGTCTAATTACCATATGCTTTTTCCATGAAACAAAACAGTAGTGTCTCGTATATTGCCATATAACAATCATTTAAATCCTAAAACATGGATATATACTAACAGATCCTTGTCAAGAGAAACTAACCGAATGCAACTATCAATCAACTTGTTCAGAAAAATAGGACAAGAAAAACCAAGCTAATTTATTAATCGGCTAAAAGCATGGACTAACAACAAACAAATGTCAAACAGAAGATTGTAATGCCTGAATAACACACGAAGACGTAAACAGAGTTCAATTAAAGATTCACCACTTAACCAAAATCAAACCAGCCCCTAGATAGAAAGCCATGCAACCAGTAGAAGCGAGATCAGTCAGTTGTACGAGAGAGAGAGAGAGAGAGCAAGAAGAAAAACAATTGTGAACAGACAAAGAAAGTTGTGGTAGCAGAAGCAATATAAGGAACACAAAGAGAGCTGTAGTAGAAGAAGCAACATAAGGAATATAAAGAGAGCTGTGGAAGAAGAAGAAGAAGAAGAAGAAGTACTAACCTTGATTGTTACTACTAGTAGACATGCGCTTGATTCGTTGAATTGAATAGCATTTTGTCGTGCAGATGAAACTTCTCTAGGTGAAGGAGCATTAAAATTTAGTATGTTCGGATCAATTCGATTCTGTATTCAAATGTCGATGATGTGCAACGACATTAAGTGTAATTTCTTGTTCCATAGCATCCTTTTGTGCATTAAATTCTTTCTGCAGTCTTTGTTGCATCCTCTCTTTCATTTTCTCCATTTTTTGTTGCATCCTCTCATATGTAGAGAGGGTCCAAAATCTTCCATTTTTCTTTTTAAGACGATCTTGGTAAACCCAAGTCCATACAATATTTCGTGACTTGGATATTCATGTCCCATTACTTTTGTGCCTGGTTACAAAAAACCAAATATGAAAATTTTTCATGTAAAAGCTAACAAGTTCATATTTTTAAAAAAAATGATAAAAATAGATTGTGTCCTACTGAGTTGGGGCATTAATATAGATTGTGTAAAAAAGATAAAACATCAAACCTTGCGGATTAGAGCAACAATTATTTTGCTAACTATGTGTGGATACCTCAACTTTTTTGGTTCTCAATGTTGGTTTTGGACTGTTTTTGCAAATAAAATAAGTCAATAGATTTGGCGACAACAATGAAAATATAAATCAAGATTTGGCAGCATGTATTGTTGATCCAAAACTCACTTCATCCATAGAAGGAAATCAAATTTAGGACTAGGGTTCACATCATAACTATCTTAGGAGTTAATTTTCTACTAATAAAAGATGTACAGATCGTAAAAAAAAGCAAGATCTTGTGAATCCAATATGACCATCTTGTGAATTTAGTCGGATTCTAGATATGTCTAAACTACTTATAACAAGAAGAGTTTCTGCCTCTGGTTCACCACTGATTCCGCTTGATAACTCTGGCAAGAAGAGTTTCTATTGTGATGATGATATGCCTGAATGGCTGCCACCAGATACTCAGGATGAAAGAACAAAAATGAACCACCAAAAAAATACACTAGACTTTTTACAGTAGTGTGAATATGCATTCCATTATTGTTCGGGTAAAAACTGATTCCTCAATGATATTTTCAGCCATATATATATATATATATATATTGAACCAATGTCAGCAATCATATCAATAGGTGTTGAAAAGAAATCAAATAAAAGTCTAGCGACCAAATCAGTAATCTCATGAAACATTTATGACCAAATCAGTAATATCTCATATAGCTATAATGAACCGGCTACAATAGTGGTTTACTACTTTAAACAAGTAGTGGTTTTTTTCTGTCATGTAACTCCTATGTATGCATCGATTCAGTTTCAATATGACTAGTGATTACTTGATTGAATTCACAAGATTTAAGTAAATATTAATCATTCTCTCAAGTTTACCTTGTGGGAATCGGAGTTCCAATAGTTAAGCAAATCCTTAGAGTGAGTTTCCGAAACATCTACCGGTCTATTCTTCATTCGTAGCTCGTCATTCGGATACGCTTCAAAGTGATCTTTCTTCAATTGATTCTTATAATTTCTCCAAGCTACCTGAATTGAATGAAAAACCCATGTTTTCGCATCCTCGAGGATGTCATATTTTGCCTACAAATTTTGGTGCAATAGGTTAGTATTAAAAAATATGAAATATCATCCACGCTTATTGACAATTGATAACTTCACACCTTGATGTAGTTCTACATATCATTTTTTGTGTCCAGTTTCCTCCAATTAAATACATTAAACGGACATAAGGTCTCATCCTTGCCAATGTGCCGAGGAGCTACCCAACTCTTTTACAACTGCTTCAGTTGGACCAATTAGTTGATTCCTTACTCTACTTTTTAATACATTTGTTTGAGGTTAATACACTTACGTAATGCACAAAAAACTTACTCATGTTGAACTGATATCTAAAAGATTTTCAATTCAAATAATTCATGACGACACACATAGTCTTTCCAGGAACAAATACCCAACTGCTCTCAATTTTCCCTTGTCTCTATTTTATTTACCTAAGTTCTTACTTGAATTTGGTGACATATATCTCATCATTTACTTGATTTTCACAGTAAGAATCTATAACATATTCTTTGATCTTCAAGTATTTGAAGAATATATTACAGCAAAGTTCGACATGTAATACTTATAATAAGTAACCAATGAGTCATAGCTCAAATTAGATAGTGGTACTAGTAACCCTATAATAAGGTCGTCCTACCTACGTTTCATCAACTGAAAAATTTTCGAGTCATAGTTCAAAATAATTGACCACAAATAAACATACAATGGTGGCACTTCTACCAATACAATAAGAATAATTCATGTTTGCTATAGTTGATAAATTGATCAACTCAAAAGCAAGTATCAACATGCGTATTTCAATGCAACTACCAGCGGAACACTCAAACTTAAAGCTTGATTCATAAACACAATCAGTGATATTTATCACAAATATTGTTAAAAATACTTTTAAAAACTTATAGTGATATTTATTCCACAGTTACAGCGGCAATTTCTTCTTCAGTGAGGAATGGAATCTACGAATTAGCGCTGAACTGTTGTAAAATTACAAAAGGAGTAGAAGAAGAGCATGCAAAGTAAATTAGAAAATTGATGAGAGTTGAGCAAAAACCTAGAATTAGGGATCTATGAGAACTTGAAGTGTTAGCCGAGCTTAATCGAGAAAAAATCCTAAAATTATTGTACGGATCAAATTGATTGAAGGAGGTGATTTTTTATTGTGGAGGAGATAAAGTTTATGGGGTATTTTTGGTGAGACTCTGGTGGATTTTATGGAGGTTGGTGGAGGGATCGACTATCGTCGGCGTGGAACTGTCACCGGCATTAGAAGAGCTAGATAGAGAGATCGATTTCTTTGATTTTAGGCGTGAGGTTTCGCTTTGAGTTTGGGCGTGAGGTTTGACAGGGAAACTTAATATTTGCCTTCTCCACGTTTAATTAATTAGTAGTATTACAATTTACTAGTGGTGAAATACAGTTGTACAAGTTAAAGTGGAAGAGAAGAAGGTGGCTTACCTGCGGTTAGTGGGGAGCACTGGAGAGGAAGAGAAGAGAGCGAACATTGCGAGATATAAGGTAGCTAGGAAGGAGGCAAAGATGGCAGTGACGGAGGCAAAGACGGCAGCTTTTGCTCATTTGTATGAGGAACTAGGGAACAAAGGCAGGGAAAAGAAGTTACTCCGACTCGCTAAGGTGAGAGAGAGGACGGCTCGGGATTTGGACCAAGTGAGATGCATAAAAGATGAGGACGGAAAAGTTTTGTTGGGGGATGACCAGATTAAGAGGAGATGGCAGACCTACTTTCATAAACTTCTAAATGAGGAAGGGGATCAGGATATTGTACTAGGTGAATTGAGGAATGCCGACAGCCCCCATGAACTAAGTGATTGTCGGGACATTGAGGTCGATGAGGTCATGGAGGCAATGCGTAAGATGAGAAGGGGCAGAGCTACCGGACCAGACGAAATTCCGGTTGAGCTTTGGAGGTGTGTGGGTAGAGCAGGCTTGGAATGTCTTACTAAGTTGCTTAATGTTATATCCAAGACTAATAGGATGCCCGAAGAGTAGAGGTGGAGTACAATGGTCCCGTTGTATAAGAACAAAGGCGATATCCAGATCTGTAACAACTATAGGGGTATTAAATTACTAAGTCATACCATGAAAGTCTGGGAGAGAGTGGTAGAAATGAGAGTACGAAGGACGGTGTCTATTTCAGACAACCAGTTCGAGTTCATGCCGGGGCGATCTGCCACAGAATCTATCCACCTTATTAGGAGGATGGTGGAATAATACAGGGATAAGAAGAAGGATCTCCACATGGTGTTTATCGATCTAGAGAAAGCGTA